TGTGCACATTATCCTGGCAAAGATATATGAAATTGATTCAAAATTGTAAAAGTCAGAGAGAGCAGAACTGAAAAATTTGAATTTCTGTTTCTGTTTTTCTTCATTTTGCTTTGCAATTAGACAATTTCTATAACCCAAACTTCTGCACCACATGTGAATTTCCTAGAAGTATTGAAATTCTAATGATGTCCCCCTATTATTTGAATGTTTTAAACAACAAAAATGACCAAAAGCATGATTTAAAATTTTAAAACTTTTTTAAACACTCAAAATTTCCATTTTTCAACTAACTGACTGATTTGTTATATCAGTTTTTAAAAAATTGTTTGACAATTTGTTTTTAAAAAATTTACTGCACAGAACTTCAAATTTCCAAAACGGATTTCCAACTTTCAAAGTCTCAAAAATAATGCTGATTAGCAGACTTAGTGGGCAAATCCCACTGCTCATACTCATGCATAAAAGTTTTTTTTTTCAAAAGACATGAAAGAAATATTGAAAATCTTGGAAGATGCAACCAAGAGTTTGTAACAGGTGATATAATCCCCTGCTAATGTGCCAATGCATGGAACATTGGGTCCAAATATGAGATTACATGTGGACACAAAACATGTGACCAGCTTTATAGTCATATAAATTTGTAAAATACATCTGAAACATCAAACATGATGCCAGGTATGACTGGGCACCCAAATATAGGGTAGTTTGATGTGTAAAATATTTTATGGTGGACTGGGGTAGCTTTTTGAGTAGGATATTGTAAGGTAGGGTAGATTCAAGGTGTGGTAAATTGAACAATAGGATAGGTTGATGGGTGTTTTCAATTTTGTGAGGTTTGACCCAATACTTTTTTGGCATTGTTTTGTACCCCACGAAAAATTATCTTAGCCTCAAAACAGATATAAATTCACCCTATAACCTACTCTCATCATGAAATATTTTCAACAAACTTATTTTTACCTGCTAATAGGTGCCCTCTTTGTGATTTGCCTTTGAATCTCTTAGCTCATGCAAAAGCTTTGCCCACAAGGCCACAACTGGTGCATTGATCAAAGTATGAGGTTACTGATGGACACAAGGTGGGTCCCATTTTGCAAGTGTATGGTTCATATATCCTGGACAGGATTGTTGATCAATGAGGTTTTGAGCAAGCAAATTTTAAATTTTGGCAAAAATTGAATTCTCAACCAAACTGCACATTTATGCAATGGTATCCTGTAAGTTTTCAAATGTGACCTGTGCCGTGATGAATGCCAGAAGCTTTTGGAATGAATGAACTATGATACAAAATAAAACTATGCACCATTAATATAAAATTGTAATATATGTCTTAAATTCCAAACATGATGCCCAGGTGTGGCTGGGCACCCCCAGCTTGTCTTTACTAATAAAGTTACTTATCTCTGTTCCTAAGTTCGTACGCACGTTTTTTTAATTTCCCTTGCCCCGCCTCCAAGAGACCAGAGTTCCCTCAGACGTGAATTTCCCGCGTTTTTCTTCAAAAATCGTTTATAAATTTTGATTTGCACCAAACTTGAATTTTTTTACACCATTCGATGCGTGCTGAAGTTTTCTAAATTTTCGTTTTTTTTCATCAAAAAATATTGACAATTGAGTGAGTTACAGTTCAAAATTCGGAACTTTTTTCAAAATTGTTGCATGCTCCCAAGTTTCCCGCCAAAATGCACAGGCGCGCGGCACCCCCTCCCAGACTCCCGGGAGTCCCGCCCCCTGACTCTCCCTCCCGGGAGGGTCAGTCTTTCCTTTGCTGTTCAGGAGACCAGGCCAGAAGAGTGAAAATGCGGGAACAAGAAAAAAAAAACCTTCAGCTGAACTTCCCTGGGTCTCTGGCGCCAACGTAACCGTTTTCATGTGCCAGTCAGAACTGGCTTTCTCATTGAATTGCCCAGCAGCAAAACACTGGCATGGTTCGGAACTTTTTTCGAAATTGTTGCATGCTCCCAAGTTTCCCGCCAAAATGCACAGGCGCGCGGCACCCCCTCCCAGACTCCCGGGAGTCCCGCCCCCTGACTCTCCCTCCCGGGAGGGTCAGTCTTTCCTTCGCTGTTCAGGAGACCAGGCCAGAAGAGTGAAAATTCGGGAACAAGAAAAAAAAAACCTTCAGCTGAACTTCCCTGGGTCTCTGGCGCCAACGTAACCGTTTTCATGTGCCAGTCAGAACTGGCTTTCTCATTGAATTGCCCAGCAGCAAAACACTGGCATGGTTGTCACATACTTTCTCTTCATGTTTTAGAGGGAACTGGGAAATTAGTTAATCAAAGCTATGGCAACCTGCTCTGGGATCCCTGGGTCTGTCACTGTCAGGCCAAGTGTACAATTGAGCTGTTCTCTTGCTGAGCAAAACTTTTTCATATTTTCCCCCAATTCCAAAAAAATGTTTTCACTTTCCTGAGCATAATTTTGTCAATTTTCAGGATTTAAAAAAATAGAAAAATGTAAAATGTGGGAAATTCCACAGCACTTGCACTGAAATTGAAAATAATTTCATTTGGTATATTTCATTATCCTAAATATATTCTGATATGTGAAAAGGGAAAATGGATCTGCCTGCACATGCCACTCTATAGGGGCCTATGCAAGGTAGATGGGGGACATGCAATAAGGGAATGCAGCATGATCTGGTATTCCCAGCCATTGGAACATTGCAATACTGTAATGGCATGGCATTCACTGAGACAACTTACAATAAATTGAACTGGTGAGGACAGTTGCTGTCAAGATTTCATCATGTGATAATGTCTTGGACAATGCCATCCCAAAATGGTTTGAAAAAACTTCTGGGCAAGCAGTTGTTTGGAACAATTGTGAAAAACTGTTTTGCATTCCCAGTGCATCCTGTGTTAGGTGAGTTTCATTATTGGAGTACCCATTTTAATCCTCCAAAATGCCCTAAATTAAAAAACTTCTGGGCAAGCAGTTGTTTGGAACAATTGTGAAAAACTGTTTTGCATTCCCAGTGCATCCTGTGTTAGGTGAGTTTCATTATTCGAGTACCCATTTTAATCCTCCAAAATGCCCTAAATTTTCACCAATTCTTCATTGTAATTTTCTCATGTGCAACAATGCAATAACGGAATTATGTCCTAATATTCAGGAAAAAATTATCATTAATAAATTAAATGTGAGTCATGAAGAGTATTAAAAAATTGAAAGGTCAATGTGAGCTGAATTATACAAAAAGGGAATTTTTACAAAATGGTTTTCCTCTTTTAAATGCCTTAAAAGTGGATGCTCCTCAATAATCCTGTAAAATCTGTGAAATTTCTTAAAGTAATGAATGCAGTTTATTGGCATAAACAGAAAATGGGAATTTTGAAAAAAGGGAGTTCTATAAAAAAATTAAATATCATTCAAAAAATGTTCCATGAAGTAAAGCATTAACCTTTTGAAAATGTCAAAACACATGTAGTCCTGTAACAAACTAAAAAATTGGTTGATTAACAAATATATTTCAATTAGCTGGAGAGAAAAAATTGAAATTTCCAAAAATGTTTTAGTTCTGCATTTAGAAAATGACATTTAACAAAAACAAAGATTTCTGGCAAGATGTGGACTTAAGATTTGTGAGACCTGGGACAGATATTTGCACATTTTGGACCCTTACAAAAAGCACCCCTCTGCCAATTATCAATTAGCCTCTTATGCAAAAAAATCATGATGTTCTGTTGTGACTCACCCTAAGGCTACCTCTGTTTCCCAGACTTCTGAGTATACCAAACCATGCTCAAAAATTGAAAATTGGTTAAGAAGAAAAGGCTTGATATGAAGAAGACTTTGGAAATTATTCTGTAATTTTCTCTCTATATTTTGCCAAGCATCAGCTTTTTAAAATCAGCAAATATGGACAAATAAAAAAATTGTGTACTTCTTAAATTTCAAAAATTTGCACATTGGCTGAGCTAAAATCAGAGTCAAAACTGTACAGAAATGGGGAAATGCAGGGGAAACAAGTTCAGAAGTATAAGAAAAAGTTGTAGAATCTCTGTGCAAAAAGTTGAGAATGTTTTCAGGCTATAAAAGTTCCCAATGAGCTAAATATGCAAGAATTTTACTCTCTTTTTATTGATAATTTCCCCTCTAAGTGGTTGACTCAAGGGAAATGTTGATGTGCAAATCTTTCAGGAGCATGTATCTGTGCTGATACACTTGATAATGCTTGACTATGAAAAATCTGTATGATGAGCCTGAAGGGAACTTCAGCAATTACATGAAAGTCTTTGCTGCAGTTTCGGTTATAACAGTGTTTACTCAAGTACCAGAGGGCACACTTTTTAACATTTGAAAAGGTTTCCTAATCAGGGAAAAGGAAATGTGATACATGATGTGCTCTTACACACAGGAGATGCTATACAGTATTTTGGAAATTTCCAGGTTCCTTATTTGTGCATTTTTGTGGAAGATTGAGTGTGGTGAAAAAGCATCCCATGGGACTTTGGGATCTTGGGTCAATAACAAGGGACAAAATGGGAATGCTCATGTGCTTCAGGTGCATTGAGCACAGGGGGCATCACACATGAGATCTAGGGTATAACCAAAATAAAAACTCCCTTGCTCCTGTACCAGTTGTGACCTGATGGCTCACAACTGCTGCATTGAACCAAAGTGAAAAATTAGATGAATTGTCAACATAAAGCCAGCAGTAAGCATGGAAATCTTGAAACTCTTTCCAGAATTTTGACCATGATGCATAGGTGTGGCTGTGCACCCCCTTTTTCAAATTTATTGTAACCTGATTCTTAGAAAAAATTTAAAATATTTGTAAAATTCCAAACATGATGCCCAGGTGTGGCTGGGCACCCCCAGCTTGTTGAGAATAAAATTATCTGGAGAAAGAAAACTTTCGTTTAAAGTGTCGTAAGAAATAAAAATGATAAATGCATATTTATTATTTTTCTTTTGGTCTACCCAGCAAAGATAATAGGTCCTTTTCGCAACAGAAAAAGAAAGTGGAAAATGGTGCATGATTATAATGCATACCTGAGGTCAAGCAGAGCTTTGAGGCTGGTCGACTGCTCCGACTGAATTTTGGCAACACTGTTTTGCTTGGTGACCTCGGCTTCGAGCGAGTCAATGTCNTGCGACGGCCAGCCTTGTTCGGGTTCAACAACGAGTTCCTCATTATTCTCATCAATAAGATATCCATCCCAAGGGTCTTCATTGTTGTTGAATGGAATCTCCTCTTCTTGCTCTACGTAGTCATTATTTGTGTCCTGATGAGGATGAGGAAAGGCGTAACCCGGAGGCCTTTGTTGTTCTTCTTGTACCACAGGAATATCCACGTTCGTGTGACCGACGATCTCTTCGGGACTGATGAGATTGTTTTCGTATTCAGGGATGTAGTGGACCTCAGACATTTGCTGAGGATGAGCGTGGTTCTTATTATTGAGGACTATTGGTGCAATTTGTGGTTGCAAATCGTCACCACCGTGTGGTGGAAAATGAGGGTGGTACGTTTGGACTTCCGATGGCACCAGGATGCCAACTGACAGCTTCACCACGTGTCTGGAATCGTCTGAATTCTGAAACTGAAAATTTCAGACGCATGAATCGGATTTATTTTCTCATCAACAAACGTCTGAATTCTGAAACTGAAAATTTCATACGCATGAATCAGATTTCTTTTCTCATCAACAAACAATACTTGTTCTGGATTACATAGTGAGACCCCCACATGCGGACGCTTTGACCTGTGGGCAATTCAACATAGGGACAATTATTTTCCCAGAAAAAATGAATAATTATGGCCTGGCATGAGGACACTGACTCAACAGGGACATTTTGTGATAAAATTGCAAATACATTTCAGGCCAAATTACAAGAAACAGATATTTCCAACCCTAAAATTGATGTGAAAAACGTTCTTGGACATTTCTCTCACCAAATTACCATTCATTTAGCTAATTAAAAAAATTACCTCCAGCATAGAGGGACTTCTACTTTTTTCACTTGAACGTTATTTTTGTAGATGCCAAAATCTAAGTGTACAGTACAGAGATACACTATTGAATGCTCCAAATGTTCTTATTGAGTTGAAAATGTATTCACTAATTCAAATTCAAGTGGCAAACAAATTTTTCCAGGGAATTCTGAAGAATATTTCTTCCACAAAACACCAATTAAAAATTATATAATGTAAGTCTATGGGAAAACAAGACTCAACTTAGGGACATTTTGACTTGGGGACACTCTCAATATACCAATTATGTCCGCATCTTGGGGTCTCACTTTTGAAAAAATGCAATAAAAATAAATTTTAGTGCAGGATCAGGAATATATGCTGGACATTGCTCTTGAGGGAATTCAGGCAGAGACTAGAAAAAACAAAAAAAAAATTCAGCATACAGTATATGACATTTTTACTTATATGGGGGAGGGTCAAGTTTTCAAACTCCAGCTCTATTAAAGAAAAAAAAAGACTTTCTCTCAGTATTTTTACTTTACCTTCAGGTCGTCAGCAGTGATGATCTGAGGCTCAACATGCTGTTTCACCATCCCTGCATGTTGATGATGATGCCCTTGCTGATGATGCTGATCCAAGTGCTGCTGCTTATTCTCCTCCTGTTGATGATGAGAAGGCAGTGGGTTCTTGAACTGCAACTGCTGATGAGGGTGAGGGTGAGGAGCAGCAGAAGCACCCTGTGTCGATGACAACGTCGTGCTTTGAATTCCGGGTGGGATCATTTGCCTCTTGGGGATCGTGCCCAGCATCACTCGATGATGAACGACCTGACCTCGGGGGTCACGGTGAGCATTAGCCCTGTCGCCGGTCGGAACCAGATGAAGACGTGGGTTTCGCGGGATCGGAGGTGGGACTAGGAAGCCCGGAGGGACCCGAATGAATCGCTGCTGCTGCTGCTGTTGATGTTGCTGAACAGTATCACGTTTCACTCTGTTGTTGCCCTTTTCAGGAGTGCCAAGGGCAAGGAACGAAGGCTGGCCATTAGCTTGCGAACGTCTTACTGTCGCCCTTAAAAACAGAAAGAAAAAAATATAAATACAGTGAGACCCCGACATGCGGACGCCCCGACATGTACGGACGATTCGACTTAGGGACACTTGAGACTTTTAAAAAACTGACCTGGCATCTGGACAATATCTCCACATATGGACACTTTCCCAACATTTCCAGAAAATTTCAAAATTTTATATTTCTAGATTATTAAATATCATGAAGAAATTGAGCTGCAGTATTTACATTTACAAATCCTAAAAATAAAGTTTATTTTAAGAATACCCAATTTATAATTAAAAAGAGGCTAATTTTGCTCATCTTTTTTTCAGTTATTTTATTGAGTATATGATCAGTTGATGAACCCATTCTTGTTCTTTGCTTTTTGGGTTCTTTTGATGCCAAAAGATCAGATTCTGCATAGTTTTCAATTATATTCTGTATCTTCAAGTTGAGAATCACATTTTATTCAATTTTCTGTGGGATTTGTTCAGACATTTTGATAAGCTCACCCCTTTGCTTTTTGGAAGATACCTTCTCAAGTAGTAGAGCGTCCGCAGTGCAGACAAAAAAACAAAAAAATTAAAAAATGATTGCAGAAGTGGGATTCAAACCCATGCCTGCAGAACCACACTGTGACCTGAATGCAGCGCCTTAGACTGCTCAGCCATCCTGAACACTTAATGTTAATTGATGCATTTTCAAGTAGGCAAATTAATTCAAGGTGCAAAAGGCCACAGACACACGTAACACGACGTCCTTATTATTCCCCCCCAGACCCCTGTAGGATCCTACTGGTCATTCCTCCCACTGCAGATGTTAAAACATACAATAAGGTACCTGTGTAAGATGCTCACCCCAGTTCACAGACTAAAAATTAAATTACATTGCTTAAACAAAAATTCTAGCTTTCTGTGGTTGCATTTGAGGATGATCATTTTGTTTACCATTAAATCTTTCATGAGTTGCTCATTCGCTTGAAACTCCTTTCTCATTGTGGGTTTGAAAAAAAATAATGTTTCCGCATGACAAGGATGCATTTCTCAGCAATAATCAATCATATGCATGACTGGAGGATTTTTTGTCTGTTATAGTGAAAGGTTCGAAACCATGAAGTCACTAGGTAGTGATTATAACTATAAAACTAGTTTTGCTAACACACCGTAGTTGGTGTTAGTTCAAGTGGAAGTTTTTCGCTTATAAATCGGCTGAATTTTCAGAAAAAAGTTGCACACTGTCATTAATCAAGTTCATGAAATCATCAAGTACAAGGAACGCTTTCCGATTTTTTTTCCACCTCAGCAATTTAATCCATTTTGATTGAAGAAAATAACGCATTTTTATTGCATACATTTATGTACTTCGAATCAAAAGAGTTGGTTGATTATATTCATGCTTCAGCTACCAGCTCATGTTCCTTTCACACTTACACCAAAACTCAGGATCACATTTTTATGGGTACTTGAACTGAGAAGAAATGGTAGAAATATTTCGTTATTCACAGTACAATAATTGAAATTCAGAGACCATTTTTATTCAAAAGACTCGTTTTGGAAGAACGAAATGATTTTCTTCGCCTACGCACCTGGATGAAAAAAAAACCAACGCTTCGGTTTTATTTCGCTTATAAGTAAATTGTGCATGTTTTTTATTTTAATATCCGCGTTGCACAACGGAGAGCTACTTTTTTTCTGCAAACGTTACACCAAGAACTTTTCGAAAATGATTTTTTTCTTGGTTTTGGAAACAAGAGCAAATGAAATGCAGTGAGACTCCAAGATGTGGACAGCACCCCGATATACAGATAATTTGACTTAGGGACACTTGAAAATTTAAAAAAATCATGACCAACATCTGGACATTGGCTCAAGTTAGGGACACTTTTCTGAAGTTTTCCCAAAAATTTGATGCATTTAATTTTTAATTTTGATATCTTTTGAACAAATCAAGCTATTTTTCACAAAATTAAAAAAATATTACATTATAAATTCACCATAGTTCATGATCAAAAGCCAGCTGATTTTGTGCTTCTTTTTTTTAGTCTTTTTCTATCATCTTTGCATATTCTTGAACTATTATTTTTCTTTGTTTTTTGATCTCATCTTGATAATAAACAATTGGATTCTACTGTTTTCTACAACTTCAAGTTGAGGGAAACAATCTATTAATTTTTGAGGACTTATTTATAATTTTGTGAGAAAAAGGAGAACCAATTTAATGCATTAGCATTGAAGTCCAAGGGAAAATGAGACTTGATGACTTAGGTACATTCCAACATCAGCTAGGACACTCTTGATGCATCAATTATGTCCGCATCTCGGGGTCTAACTGTCCAGTACATTTATTTGAATTTTAGGGCGTTGATGGAATAATATTATTATTATTTTTTTTAAAGCAGTGAGTCTCAAGGATGTCGTTCACGGTTCTCTTCTGGCGAATGCTTCGCTTACGAGCAGCAATTCCAGCGAGTTTATTCTCAGACAACTGCTGCTCCTTTGTCCCACAAAGATGATTACAAACTCTCCGGTTTTAATTATTAATCAACCTTGATGCGTATCAACATGACGATCTCGAAGCAGCGAAGCTGATACAGTCACTGGATTCTCATCCCGTCTCCAAAAAGGTGTCACGAGCTAGAAATTGTGCAACTGGCCGGTTTATTTTTATTTTTCTTGGATCGTGGTGAATGCTTGATGATTTTCTTTGATTTTGAAATATCTTTTCCAAGAACGTCGGAAAAAAAGAACGGTCTAATAATAAGAAGTATAATTTTGCAGGATTGAAGAGAAGCAGCGTTTGTGTCGCATTTATTAATTTTCACATTTTTTTTTGTGCAAAAATTGAATTTATCTCCTTCTGAGTTTCGCATCTAGTCAATTGAATTGGGATTTTTTTACATCAATTGAATTCCTATTTCAAGGATCACTGGAAAGCCACGAGAATGGGTTCGATGGACTGTAAATTGAGATAAAATTTCTGATTCAAAAATGCGTCATGATTGATAAAAATTTTCAAGAACGTCAAAAAAACTGTCCAAAAAGAATGAAAGATTTTACAGAAAAGATGAGCAGCGTTTCTGCGCTCATTTTTTCCTTATTTTATGCTAATTACTTTCTGTTTCCGCACTGCGAAAATTGGTTTCACCTGCCCAGATTTCTGCAAATGGTCGAATTATTCGGGATTTCAAAAAATCGAATGAAATTTAATTTCAATAACCACTGAAAAGCCATGCGAATAATAGGTTCAATGTACTGTTGATTTCGATTCAATCTATGATTCAAAGAATGGGCCAAAAGCGAGAAATTGTGCAAAGGGGTTGCCTTTTTTTTGGTGTCTCTTCCTTGATGTTCTCACTTCAATTTTGCCATGTCTTTTCAAGGGCATCGAAATAAAATTGTATAAAAAGCATGCATAATTTTGCAGAAAGAAGGAGCCGCGTTTCTACGCTTGTGCGTTTTCTGCGCATTGCTTTTTGCGTCCTAACGAAAATGATTACCACCTTCCGGGTTTCGCAACCAGTTGAATTATTTGGGATTCAAAAAATAACCAGTTGTAATAACAGTTAACATAAAAAAACGAAAGGCCATGAGAATAGGTTCATTGAACCGTTCAATTAAATTCAACCTGTGATTCAAAAATGTATCAAAAGCCCGAAATTGTGCAGCTGGTTTTCTTCTTTTTCTTGGGGGTACTTTTTTATGTTTTTTTTTTAATTTTGCAAGACCTTTTCTAAAGAGCATTGCCCTTATTATGGTTCTCTGCTAATTCCTTTTTGATTTCTTGCAAAAATTGGGTCCACCGCCCGCTGTTTTCAAATGGTCGAATTATTTCGAACTTGAACATACAAATTTGAAAGAAAATTTCGTAGCCACGAGAATGGGTTCACTATGTACTGAATAATCAATTTCAATTTACTTGCCAATGATGTCAAATTGTGATTGGTTCCACGCTTTGCCATTGCATTTATGGTTAATATTTAAACGCTTCTTGATAAGCTATACTCATCTCACAAGTAAACATTTCGATGTACAGGTATATATATATATTTTTTTTAAATCTGATGTCTTCTGAAGTGTCATTTTTCTGTTGAAATTTGAAACCGGACGATCGAATATATGTTCGGATGCAAGCGTACCTAAAGGAATCATACAGAGAATTGTTTTCGCATAAATACTTTTCCACTTTTTTTAATGAGTTTCTTAAGCGAGCTAGGAATTTAAAAAATTTTGCATGACCTCTTCGAAGAATGTCAACGACGCAATATATATTCCGCATTTTAGAATATTGTCAAAGAAATCCATATTTTCGAAATTACGTCAAGAATATGCTTGCTGATCTTCGTGCTGATTCTGCTCGAATGCCAAATTCAATAAAACGTTTTTTGATACAAAGAGGTTTCATTTTATTTGAAAAATATTCTGAGGTTGTATTATTGTGCTGATTTCAAGTGAAATTTCTTCTAAGAATAGGGGAAAGTTTGATTGTATTTGCATTCTTTGTCAGATCTCTTTGACTACTTTAGAATTATTTTTCCACAAATAAATTTTGCTTATAAAAATCCTGGAATAAATATTTTTTTGCCATGAAGCAGAACTGCAATATCGTTAGAATATCGTTACAACGAATCTGGTTATAACAAATAACCGATTAGAACAGAGTCATTTTCCAGATCCCTGGCCAATATCCACTAACATTTTAAATCAGTTCCTTTTTTTGTGAAAAATTCATGATAATAAAGCTTTTTTACTGGTCCCAATAGCTTCGTTGTACCGAGTTTTATACTGTGATAAAAAAGGGCGTTTTTTTAAAGATCTTTCTAAATATCTGTATCATATTCCTTTCAAGGTTTCCAGCTCCCACCTTGAATCCACAAACCACATGAACGAACTGTAGGAAATGCAGTCCTTGAAACGAAAAAAAAAAATCGGAACTTCCAATGAAGGTCAAAACTTGTGTAGGACTCTGTGTTTCTGCTCTTAAACACTCATTGTGCCACGGGGAATGCGGAAGGTGGAATGGGAACTTCTACAAACAGGAGTGAACAGAATATTAGAATGAAATGGCTCGTAGAACAGGAAGAATGTTCCTGCTTTGACAGGACTGCGTGGGCAGGGTCTTCGCCCTACGGGGGAAAATTTACCTGGAGATATATAAAACATCTCTCAAGGAAATGCCGAACGTAGCAAAAATAATAATGACTAAAAATAATGACCAATTTCAAGTCCATGAGTAAGTTAAAGAAAGTGTACGTTCATGACATATCCGTTAATTAATACAACCAGTGCATGACATGTATATTTAAAATTTTTGTTCTTTTTATAAAAAAAGAAAAAATACGTTACTAGAACAGACATTACTTTGTACTGTACCTCTTGTACAGTTCTTAATAACTCAAACCTCCAGAAGTCAAATGTGTCCCTAAATCAAAGCCTGAATCCTCTTAGGAATAATGCATTGAAATCCTCTCTAACTTGAAGGCTTTTTCTCTCCAAAACCTCCTCAAGTTTAATTTTCTGAGGCCTTTTGGCTACTACTGTATTTACTTGAGTACCAGGCGCCCTCAAGTAACCTCCATAAGGGGTTTTTCAGCTTAAAATTTCAAAAAATCTTATCCTCGAGTAAGGCGCACACCCCAATTTTTAGTGAATCTAAAACCATACAATTTCAAAAATGCAAACAAAAATTTGACTTTAGGCATGAATTGAACAAAAATCTGATCAATTTTCAATTTTTTCAATACAAAAATGTTTTCTTGTTATATTTGTTCCAAATCTCTCCATTATAATTAAGTATAATGCACACATAACTTCCTAAAACTTCTCAAAAATTTTGTACCTGCTTATGACGCGCACCCCTTTTTTTCTTCTGAAATTTGGGAAAAAAGGTGCACGTGGTACTTGAGTAAACACAGTATATTTTGACCCAGGAAAGAGAAACAATAAAAAGTAACTTGATGTGTTTTGAAAGAAAGTGAGAGACTATAATTGGGCAGCTTAACCAAGCTTCCTTTTAATTTAAGTATCCTGTCAATGCTTTCAAGAAGCAATTTAAGGCTGAGAAATATCACCATTTAAAATTCCCTGCAATTCTNTTTCAAATGGTCGAATTATTTCGAACTTGAACATACAAATTTGAAAGAAAATTTCGTAGCCACGAGAATGGGTTCACTATGTCCTGAATAATCAATTTCAATTTACTTGCCAATTATGTCAAATTGTGATTGGTTCCACGCTTAGCCATTGCATTTATGGTTAATATTTAAACGCTTCTTGATAAGCTATACTCATCTCACAAGTAAACATTTCGATGTACAGGTATATATATATTTTTTAAATTCTGATGTCTTCTGAAGTGTCATTTTTCTGTTGAAATTTGAAACCGGACGATCGAATATATGTTCGGATGCAAGCGTTCCTAAAGGAATCATGCAGAGAATTGTTTTCGCATAAATACTTTTCCACTTTTTTAATGAGTTTCTTAAGCGAGCTAGGAATTTAAAAAATTTTGCATGACATCTTCGAAGAATGTCAACGACGCAATATATATTCCGCATTTTAGAATATTGTCAAAGAAATCCATATTTTCGAAATTACGTCAAGAATATGCTTGCTGATCTTCGTGCTGATTCTGCTCGAATGCCAAATTCAATAAAACGTTTTTTGATACAAAGAGGTTTCATTTTATTTGAAAAATATTCTGAGGTTGTATTATTGTGCTGATTTCAAGTGAAATTTCTTCTAAGAATAGGGGAAAGTTTGATTGTATTTGCATTCTTTGTCAGATCTCTTTGACTACTTTAGAATTATTTTTCCACAAATAAATTTTGCTTATAAAAATCCTGGAATAAATATTTTTTTGCCATGAAGCAGAACTGCAATATCGTTAGAATATCGTTACAACGAATCTGGTTATAACAAATAACCGATTAGAACAGAGTCATTTTCCAGATCCCTGGCCAATATCCACTAACATTTTAAATCAGTTCCTTTTTTTGTGAAAAATTCATGATAATAAAGCTTTTTTACTGGTCCCAATAGCTTCGTTGTACCGAGTTTTATACTGTGATAAAAAAGGGCGTTTTTTTAAAGATCTTTCTAAATATCTGTATCATATTCCTTTCAAGGTTTCCAGCTCCCACCTTGAATCCACAAACCACATGAACGAACTGTAGGAAATGCAGTCCTTGAAACGAAAAAAAAAAATCGGAACTTCCAATGAAGGTCAAAACTTGTGTAGGACTCTGTGTTTCTGCTCTTAAACACTCATTGTGCCACGGGGAATGCGGAAGGTGGAATGGGAACTTCTACAAACAGGAGTGAACAGAATATTAGAATGAAATGGCTCGTAGAACAGGAAGAATGTTCCTGCTTTGACAGGACTGCGTGGGCAGGGTCTTCGCCCTACGGGGGAAAATTTACCTGGAGATATATAAAACATCTCTCAAGGAAATGCCGAACGTAGCAAAAATAATAATGACTAAAAATAATGACCAATTTCAAGTCCATGAGTTTCAATTTCTTTCACATGCAAGTACTGTATAGGCAATTAATTATGTTGGTCACGTACTGTACATATAAATTTTAAAAACAAGAAAAATATTTTTTTCTTTTTTATGCAATGATCTTGTCTGTAATGAATGTACTGTACCTCTTGTACAGTTCTTAATAACTCAAACCTCCATAAGTCAAATGTGTCCCTAAATCAAAGCCTGAATCCTCTTAGGAATAATGCATTGAAATCCTCTCTAACTTGAAGGCTTTTTCTCTCCAAAACCTCCTTAAGTTTAATTTTCTGAGGCCTTTTGGCTACTACTGTATTTACTTGAGTACCAGGCGCCCTCAAGTAACCTCCATAAGGGGTTTTTCAGCTTAAAATTTCAAAAAATCTTATCCTTGAGTAAGACTCACACCCCAATTTTTAGTGAATCTAAAACCATACAATTTCAAAAATGAAAACAAAAAATTTGACTTTAGGCGTGAATTGAACAAAAATCTGATCAATATTCAATTTTTTCAATACAAAAATGTTTTCTTGTTATATATGTTCCAAATCTCTCCATTATAATTAAGTATAATGCACACATAACTTCCTAAAACTTCTCAAAAATTTTGTACCTGCTTATGACGCGCACCCCTTTTTTTTCTTCTGAAATTTGGGAAAAAAGGTGCACGTGGTACTTGAGTAAACACAGTATATTTTGACCCAGGAAAGAGAAACAATAAAAAGTAACTTGATGTGTTTTGAAAGAAAGTGAGAGACTATAATTGGGCAGCTTAACCAAGCTTCCTTTTAATTTAAGTATCCTGTCAATGCTTTCAAGAAGCAATTTAAGGCTGAGAAATATCACCATTTAAAATTCCCTGCAATTTCTTCTATTTTTTTTGACAACAAAAATGTTTGTTTCCCTAACTCAAACCCTATAACTCCAAGTTTCTTTCTGTTCCTTTGGACTTTGCCTTGACCCTTTGATGACAGCAGGTATATTCCCATTGAGCAGCAGCAGAGATGGGATATTTTTGCAGGCATGTGCATTTAATTTTGACTAAAGGTCACCAAAATGCAGCCTTGGCTGCATGGATAGACAAACTAGAGGAGAATCTGAGAAAGTTCAAGGTAAACCCTACAATAATAATCCTATAGCAAGACTGCTGGAAAAAATACCACCCAGCAGTAAATCATTTCTTAAGCAAAATTTTCCTGTGGAAAGTTGGAAAAATTAGGATTTTTCCATACTTTGGCTCTCTTGACCTGACTAAGATCTTATTTTTTATTCCTCACAGCACACAATGAATGAATGAATGAACAGAACACTTTATTTGCCGCTTTTCAGCATTCACTTCTCAAAACACACCAAATTACATTTTTATAGCTTTTCTCTTTCCTGCATCAAGAAAATAATGACCTAAAGGTCTTCAGCTTGTTTCTGTATGAGGTTTAGTTGAATGGACAAATTACAGAGAATCTTTGATGAGAAATCATATAAAGCAAACAATTTATCTTGATCCTTTAAGATTTCAGAAAGGGTTTCTTCATTGAATTCCTGTACTTTTAAATCTATCTTAAACTTGTTTCTATCAGTATGAAATGCTTGACATAAGAAGAGAAGGTGATCTGGTGATGCGCAACTTAATGTATTTATGCTGCAGGCGTTACACCACTTGGACACTTTTGCACACAATTTTTCAAAAATTCCCCAGCAGTTAAAGAGGATTGACTTTTTTTACTACTTTTTTTGTTTGTGGCACCATAGGGTTCTCTCCCCATTCTGAAGGGATTCTTGGCAACAAAATTGCAATAATGCTCATTATGCGTCGCCAGGGCGTCGACTCCAAAGCCAAACTCTATGCTGGATTTTTTGAGGTCCCTTTAAATTTTGTTGCAGAAAAGGTCCACTAGTAAAATAAGGTCTTACCTGAAGCCACCTGCATCAGCAACATAGTCCACAATGCGAATTCTTCCATCTGGTTCCCTCAGGCCATAGCTGCCAATCACAGTGCCGTCATCCAGTCGTTGTTCATGGCGATAATGCTCATTATGCGTCGCCAGGGCGTCGACTCCATAGCCAAACTCGTATCCAGATCGGCCCTGTGTACAGTGGTGATGGTTTTTGTGGTGGCGCAATAGAAAAAAAAAAGGAGAAGGAACCATAGTGAGATGAGAGGCATGAGTCTGTGACCAATTCTGGAGACGGGCATCAGTCACGTTTCCACTGGGTTTGGAATAAACTCAACCCTGACTAGGATTACATGGCTGGAGGAATATACTGTACAGTGGAAGCCAGGTGAAGCAGAAAAATTGTAGAGGAGGAAAACTATAGGAGAGGGGAGAGGTTCTTTAAAAGTTCTGATGGTTTAGTCTAACCATGATGTACAGTTGAACCTTGATAACACAAAACTCCTTAATTTTCTGAAGCCTTTAGGTCATTATTTTCTTGATGCAGGAAAGAGAAAAGCTATAAAAATGTAATTTGGTGTGTTTTGAGAAGTGAAAGACTAAATTGGGCAAATGAACCCCTCTGCTTCCAAGTTCAGCCTCCTGTCAACTCATTTAACCCTTGGGTGGCAGTGAGTTCTATCTCAGTGTGTGGCAGAGTTGGGATTTTTCCAGGGGGGAAACTCCCACATTTCAATTTGACCCAAGGTTACTGAAATGCATCCAGGTTGAGGAGGCCTAAGTCAGGAAAAATCTGGGAGGCAAATTTTATCTTGTTTGCAAGATTTTCCCATGAAATTCCTATGCCAGGAATGCAGGAAAAATTCCACCTGGTGAGGAATTAAAAAAAATTTCAATGAACCTTTTCTGCGGGATTAGAAAAAACTTGGGACTTTTTCCCAACTTAGGCCTTGGTACAAAAGTAGGTTCTTTTCTCATTCCCCTTGCCCAGTGGCACAACATTTTGCAAAAATATTCCAATAACTTTGCTGCACAAGGGTTAAGAAGCAACTCAAGGCCCAGATTATTGCCTTTTACAATACAGGTGGTATACTTCCTAATCCGATGGCCAGCAATTTAATGGTTGAATTTGCTGGGACATCAACTTGCAATTTAATCTCTTGCACCACAATTTAACCCTTGGGCAGCAAAGTTGGACTATTTTTGCAAAATTTTGTTGCACCTCAGAGAGGTGAAGAAAAAAATGACAACAGGTGGTGAAGGGCAAAGTTGGGAAAAATCCCAACATTTTTTTCCCTGAGCTCAGAAAAAATTTTCTGGAAAAAAAATGCTCAGGGAGGCTACTGGCTTTTCTGGGATTAATCCTGACTTTGCCTCAGCCCACCTGGAAGGGTTTTCCTGACCTTCAAAAAACTTAAAATGAGGGAGCACATGAAAATAATCTGACTTTGTCCTGCTATGGGAAAGAACCCTCTGCCATCCAAGGGTTAATCTGCAGAGTGACTCAAAATGTCAAATTTGATGTAGAAAAAATACAATTTGATAACGTCTTGCAATCCAACTGCCTTGCAATTTGACCCTCAGCCAGCAACGGATTAGAATCAAATTGCAGGGCACCATCATCAGGTTTTGTGCAATTTTTCTATGTTCCCTGCAACAAAAATGCTTGGTTCTGTGACTCAAACCTCTCCAAGTTGAATATTTTGCTGGTCTCTTGAAATTAAACTCATTCGAAAGGTTTGACTGTAACTTGAACCTTCTTGAGTCAAAAGCCTGCATTTGCCAAATTTTATTTTTGTCTCACAATAAATTCTTAAGGATACATGTCAGGTCTCTCAAATACAAAACATTTCACCCAAAAATAAACTAAAATTTCGGGAAGCCTGTGAACTATTTTTTAGGGATCACAAAAATGGAAAAAAATGTAAGTAACCGTTCAAAGATAGAACATTTTCAGAAACGATTTCAGAGCCGTTACGTTGTTCAGCATATTATCATTTTTTATCTTGAGTCGAATTTTGTTGCCAATATCTTGCATTCTTCGCTTACTTGTCGATTTTGAAAAATTGAGCAAAAATCAGATATTTCAATCATTTTATTGGAAATTAATGGAACCTTCGAAAAATTTACTACACATTAGTTTACCTAATCATGCAAACATTCTTTAACCAGATTTGTCAAGAGTATCACTATGACATGCCAGAAAGTCTGAAGTTATTTTTCATGAGTAAACATCAAAGTAGTGGTTTAATTTGAAAACAAATTTTGACATTCCTGGAAATATTGGCCATCAGAGCTCCAAAATTCGTCAACCATATTCGAGCACCTCAAATTTCGCAAGAAAACCTGTGCCACAAATTTGTGGAAAGCCTCCTGGTGAATAATTCCAAATAAATCTATGGACATCAGACTGGAGTCCGGAGGCTTTAAAACTATGGGTCTTGTTGATACCAAAATAGGAATTGAGTCCATGTCCACGGACAGGTTTCCCATTTTCCCTTTCAAAGATATCGCCTTCAAAAATCGTATATTCACCGGATGGGCCTCTGACTGTTGCTGTGAACCGACATTGAACAGGATAAAAGTCACTGACTTTTTCTTAAGAAAGAAAAACATCTTTGATCCGATTCAAATTGTTATGGTCCAACGTAAAGCACGTCCACTGCTTTTTTTTTCTCGAAAAAAAAACTCGGAAACTATGCGTTGTTCCACGTTTTTTTTTATGGCATTGGAAAAAATAAACGACGATTTCCGACATGGTCTATGATTTTAGGCGTGTCAGCGGATTGCTCAACACTTTTTGCATTATTTTTCCCCCGCCTGTGATATTATGCATTGGTATTTGATAGTCTAGAAAACTGGGACAGGACTTCTTTAGGGGGAGAAAAATATACCGAAACTTCATCAGCTGTCAACTTAATGTGCGAATTGTTGCATAATGCGAGTCACGAAAAGTGCTGATCCAGGTTTCGTTGCATAACTTGCTTCGAGACCGAGGAGAAATTTTCGCGCTGCTTCGTTGAAGTTGTGTCATCTTTTTTTTTTTCGAGGTGAATTTTGCGGTAAAATCGTTGAGTTAACAGTATATGCTGAAGATATCAATTCTTTGTGATAAAGTAGTATAATTGTAACCTGGCAAACGAAAGAGCAAATTTTTACCGATTTATTTAATCACGAATTCGAATGCGTCTCAGAATCGTTGGCGTTTGAAACTCAAGAGAAAAATGCCGGTCAATGATTTATTTTTCGGGATTCGTCTTACAAAGCATTTTTTTCAACTATGCTTTTTTTTCATTCACGAAACATCTGTCTGATATGTTGGATTTCAGGCACACCTAAATTATAGACAGATACTAGCAGCATAGAATTCGATTGTGAGTAAAAAAGTGCAAAAAAGTATCGCTTTTCCCAAAAATTGGGATAAAATAATTAGGGGCATATTATAATGAAGTAAGACGCTTCCAGAATTTTTAAAAAGAATTCCTGAGTGTGTACTTGGATTATACATTTCATATATTTGATAAAAGAGAAGTAACTTGAATGCAATTGCATTTTTCTTTTATTTGCAGCTCACAAATGAAGGCGTGCATCTTTTGCAGAGGCCAAACGCGTGGTACTTCATTATTTTAGTAAATCATGCATTTTTCAAATAACGAAGCAGTTTTAGAACAAACCGAAAAAAATTGATTTCCAATTAGAAAATAAATCCGGGCTTTCATTGCTAGAAATGTATTCTGTTTGCAAAAATGCAGCAGGACTTCAATAATTAGGGCCTATAAATTAGACAGACATTTCATCAACTTAGTGCAGATTTCAAGAAATTCAGAAGAAAAGTACTAGCCTGCTTGTTTTTTTGCATACTTTTCTCAATATTTTCGGCCTCTTAATATTCAATAGCTATCTAGTTACAATACTTTTTCAATGTATCAATGGGACGTTATTGGCAACCTTATTGTGCCTTGTTATTATTTTTTAAATATTCGTCGTCTTTGGTATAGTCTGAAAAAAATATTTTATCGTGATTTGAAAACTTGGACTTTCTTCCCTCTTCCTTGAAGATAACGTTTTGGTAACTTTTGAAGGAACAACGGATGTGCCGATGATGTCTACTAAGTTTATCAGTAAAGTTGCTTTCCGCTTTGAGGGTTTGGCAAATAAACCTGCGTCTTGTATTCAAAGTTATAATATCTTACATTATATTTTAAACACTGAATTTAATGAGTTTTCGACGTATTCGAAATACAAAACCGAGAAGTGAAATTGGAAGAGCGTTTCAAGTACTGTACAGTATTTCGAAATACCATAATGAATTTACTTTCCCCCTCTTCAACTTCTCAAGACCCCACCGAAACCCGGGTTCGCGTTTCTTCCCAACCCGGAATTTTCAAGATAAATGTAAAAAGAAAATTTAGGGAAGCAACCTCTGGGATGTTGTGTCCACGTTTAATTAATGACCATCATGGAACCCAGCCAGGATGTTTTTAATTTTTATATTTACGTCGACGGCCGTGTTTTCCAAATTGGGAAAACTGTTGAGATCCCCGTGTTTTCAAAAAAAATAATAATAATAATTCAGGTGGGCGCCATTTTAGGGAGATTAACCATGTAGAAATACTTATTTCTAGAGTTATGGTCCTCTTGTTCTCGCTGAGAAGACATTTCAGTGAAACACGGAATATCCGCATTCGAAGGACAGTAATAAATTTATTCGAGATTTTTCCCACAGATTTCATTTAATCTATGCTGTGGATGTAAACGCAAAAATAATCACTTGTGAACTTTCTCAAGAATCTTTTTTTGTTAACAGCTAGTTCAGAAAATTTTCGAGGATTTGGCAAATTTGATCACTCATGAATTTTTTGAATGCGGTAAACCATTTTCAACATACTGTAAATAAGAAAGAGCATTACTAATTCATAACGTAGTGAAAAAAATTATGCTGACTGAATAAAGTCCTTTCAATTAAAAGAAAATCCCGTTCATCCCTTCCAAAAGAGTCACCAAAGTTATGGGGCTTAAAATACGAATTCAATATACAGTACCTTGAAATCTATTTTCTAATTTCATGTAGTAACATTTCCTAAACTTCATTTCACTTCCGAAAGTAATCTGAAAGCAGCAGTGGATCAAAATAAAGGATGTTTCGAATTAAATAGCATGAAGGTATTCCGAAATTTAACTTATTTTACAAGGACGACGTTCTCACATTGAGCATACTAATGAATTTTCGCTTGTAAATATGAATTATACTGTAAATTATACTATGAATTTATACTTGCTTTCTCAGGTGGGCATCAGAATCAAGGTCAAGTTCGAGGTGTTTCCTGAAGTTCATTTTTCACCTGTGAAGATGCCTATTCGCACGTTTGATGAAAAAGGGGCATTTTCAAAAGTTTTTTTAAAAACTTAAAACAATGCCCATAAGGTGAGAAAATATTCATCAGATGCATCGCCATTTTTTATCTTCCACTCGAATGTTTTTCTGCATAATGGGCGCAAATCAGATACTGTATTTACAATTTTGGAAATATGCAGGAATCAATTCAGCTGATGATTCTTTGGATGCATAAAGAACCGGGTTTGTTCATAGCTTATTAGTATTTCTTGGGTGGCTTCCAGTGGTACATTGTTTCAAAACAAAAATACTATAGATAACCAAAAAGTATTCATAAAAATTGTTACAGCAATTAACGCCAACATTTCAGTGAGCAAGAAGTTCTCCAAAAGATGTCCAAAACTCCTCGAAATGAGCACCATGGACATTTTTTTGAGAACATGTCCCAAAAAAGGGTGCTCTTGTGGACAAGTTTGGAGAACTTGTCCACAAGAAGAAAAAAATGATGCTGCTGTGGACAAGTTCTCCAAAATTGTCAGCAAGTTCTCCAATTTCCCAAGAAAAATATCGAGAACTTTCAGATATGTTCTCCAAACTTAGTAAGAGAATTCCACATGACAAATTCATGCTCAAAATGTGAAACTTTGAATAAACAACGCAACATATTGGTGTTTTTTATGCAGATATACCCACTGTAAAACACTTATTGCATAACAAAGCTTTGTGCAGGTCCCAATTGATTAATTTGCATGACGATTCTATGTGCACAAAAAATGCTCTAAAATATTTTGACAAAGAATCCATCGTTATTAAATTTTACAATAAGCCTGAAATGTGTCAGAACTCCATGACTGCAGGTTTTTCTAAATATTTTACGAAGAACAATAAGTCACGCCATTTTGGGGCGCGTTACTGAATTTATTTCACGTTCCTCTGTTTCGTTTGTTTATTCAACAACTTTCGGAAACACCCTAGTTTTTTATGGCTTAAAAGCTTCTTGAAAGATATGGGCGTTTCCTCGGTTCGTGTTCCTCCGGCAATATTTTTCTCCGTAGCTAAAATCGTGGGCGGCTTATCGAGATTCCCTTCAACAATTTTTCTCTTCTCCCTGAATATTGAGCTCAGCTATTATTTATTTTTCCTGAAGCCAATTCAGAACCATTTCTATCTGTTCATAAATCATTGATGGTCACGTACTGCTCAACTCTAGAACAAATAAATATCACAAGGCTCGCGCTTGGAATGATAACCTTCGAAACTTGCTTTTAAAATCTCTCGCTACAACGATTTTCTCTTTATAACGAATTTTTCCTGGTACCATAGAGTTCTGTCCCCATGTTGCAGGGCTTTTAATTTTCAAAATTCTCTCGACAACGAATTTTTTTTTTCAAATCTGGCCTCTTGAATTTCGTGGAAGAGAAAGTCCAGCTAATTTTTGATGGAAAATTCTTGAATCAATGTCTATACGTTTTCCGTTATAATTTTTTTTAAATCTTTGTGCATTCAGAGCTGATGGGCGCGGTCGTGAAAACGCATGTAATGAATCGTTGGGTCTTGATTCACGGAAGAAACCGCCGTTCGAGTCTGTTTTGTAATTCAAGGGGAAAAAAGCGTGGAATGAGAGAAGAAGAAAAAACGTCTCGGGTATAAAATACTTTCCTTGCATAAATTTAAACGGGAAGCGAAGTGCAGTTATTTGCGCTTCAAGGAGATTGAGAGGAGGGGGAGAAATGGTGCTTCGTTCCATTCGCGTGAACATTCCGGAGTATCGCCTTTATTTATGTCTAAAAAATTTCCGCAATATAAATTCAAGCTTTGCAAAGAACTGCGCAGATCGAGGAAGAAAGGGGATTTTTTATCTGCGTGCTTCATTCAAAAGTATTATTTATATTTCAAACAAATGTATGCGATTTTGTGAATACTACTGGACCAGTGGGCGTTTAATTGGTGAAATAAATAGCACGTACCTTTTTTTGCGAATTCGTATCTGGTGTTGCTTCGCATTCAGCGTTCCGGTGAAATATTATTAGGAGTCAGACTACAACGTTTATAATCCCTAAAGTTTTTACCGGTAATTTTTTCAATATGGGTATGTACACCCATTTACTATGACAGTAACCGTCTTTTTCATTTAAATATAAAACGAAAAGTCGAATGATGGTATACATCTGCTTCATAAAAGGCTAATCCTGGTAAGTGTAAAAGTGTTTTTTGGTTAGAGCAGAACACCAACATATGTAAGAATAAATGGTAAAGTGAAGAG